ATTGATACCTGTAATTTTAAAAGTTTGTATGTGTCATTAAATACCGAATGATGATACTACTACTTACCTATATCAGTAAGTATTGGCCGATGGTAAGAGAAACAGGTGATGAATAGTTTACATCTGAGATCTGGAATATGTAGTGCAAAGGCCGTGAGTGGTCGAAATAAACGTGTTTGCTCCGAGGTTTGCTCTTAGTTCTTTTAATTATTCGAAAATCTACTACATAAACTCCTTCTCTATTTGACTTGGTGGCCCTGAAAAGGGCCGTTTGTTTGTTGGTTGTTGGCCCTGAAAAGGACCTTTGGTTGTTTTTTTTTCTGGTGTCCATCGAAAGGGTTGTTGGAGTTGGAAAGAATAGGTACTAATCGCAACCAATTCCACGCCAAATCGGTCAGTCACCAAGCTCGACTATCTTCGATCTGCATGATACTTGGCACATATTTTCAGTATGATAGACCAAGTATTTTCCGCTAGAGAGGAGACCCTTTTGACTCAAGGGTAATTTTTGAAAAGGGCCTATGTGTTTTTGCACACATACTTTAAAAAAAATGTAGTTCGAAAATAGTTGGTTGTAGAAAAAAATTTACTAAGAAGGAGTTGTAGGAAACTAATAAGGCTTTATAAAAAAAATATACACGGATTTTTTTTCGTGTTTTTACAAAAGAAATTAAAAATAAACCTCAAAATTCAAATAACAAAAAAAACGTATTTTTGATTTTTTTTATATTTTTTTTAATAAAAACTCGAATAGAAAGCAGAAGTTTTGAAAACAACTCCAGGATGGACAAAATTTTAATAAAAAAGTTTTTCTAAGAGCAACTTTTAAGGCATTTTTGAAACATTCATTATTTACGGCAAAATGTTCAGTTTGATGTCAGTATATGATGATAAAAATCATTTCAAACGATAGTGCTCATATCGATAACCTTCCTAAATGTAACCGTTTTCGAGATATTTCAAATTTACTTTCATCATAATCATTTTTTTGTAGAAAATATGCCCTTTTCTTAAGTTATACGTGATTGTCCATCAAATATGATAAGTTTTGCAAGATATGCATGTACTTACCTTCAACTTACCAATAGACTATTGAAAAATTGGTTTTAAACTTATAATATAAATAAGATAAATAAATGAAGTACCCATGCGTTTTTATTTGCATCTTACATTTATTACTTTCGATCGTCTTTAATAATAATAATTTGTACATAAGCCTTTTCGTTGGATATATTTTTATTTGATGAACTAAAAGTCGCTTTTGAATATGAATCTTCTTACCTTCCTTCTTCACTGAAACGTAATCATTTAGTCCTGGCGTGGCTCTGCTTATCTGGTCGCTTTCGAAGAACTGCAATACCTCGTTTTTAATTTCGGGATCCAAACCGTGTCCTAACCTTTCGTTGGGGGTGGCCAATACTCCTTTCCCGTTTGCCAAGCATCAAGCTTGCAATACAATGTATTTATTTGTTTCAAACTCGTCCATTACCGTTTGCGTTGACCAAGATTTCGGCAAAATCGTCAGAATCCTTATTTGATCGTCTCTCGATGAACCTGGATCAGCAAATCTCTCCTTCAGTTGTCCGATCATCTCATTGTGTTGCGCAGCTTTCAATTTTAGTTGCTCCAGGTCATCTTCTTCCGCTTGAAAACCGAAGATGCGTTTCTTAATGCCATTGGTAATGTCCATATGCTTTCGCCGGGGATAGTTAACATTCTGGAATTTTTTTGTCGATATTGGCGATACGTTGATACCAGCTATGCCCTTGTTGAATAGCTCAATATTATGCGTCCTGGAAAATTGTTGCTCTCCATTATCCTGAGATGATGCTGTTGTTATTGACGTAGTTGATGGTATTTCTTCGAGGCCATGTCGAGATGTAGATGGCTGCGGATTTTCAGCACATGGTTCGATTCTATTTAAATTCAAGCGACACGTATCACAGATTGTTAGAGCTGTATCCAAATTAAATTTCCACTCTAGGAACTTATGTTTTTCAATCAAATTTTCGGATAATTTACGATGCTTTGACGAACACCGTTTATTAGGAAACGGCTTGCAACACTCGACCTTCTTGAATTCCATATTCAAATTATACTTGTTCACTCATAAAGATTTTTTTAGTGATGTCTGTTTTCAAAAGGATGGTCATGCTTATATACAAACGTAGGTACCATTTGGATATTCAGGTATAAATATTGTTTTGGTAATGAAGCTACTCTAACAGAGAAGCTATTTTTTTCATGAAAAATACCATGGAAGACATTATAATGTACCTAAAATAATAAGATGGATAGGTACATCAATATTAACAACTTAAATAGGATTAAAATAAGTGCAACTTATCTTGTGTTGGTTTCTATATTTAAAATAATAGTGTTTTCATTTTTTGAGCTTGAGCTTGATTGACCGCCCACGGTTGCTACTCTGTTACTGCCAGATCAGCTGAAATTACACAGAGAACCAATAGACGATGCTTGGGACTAGCAATCCTCCTCAATGTGTAAAAACTGGTGATCTTAAATTAGGCAATACCAGCGCCGGCCGCGCCCGAACACAGGTCAAGAAAGGAATGGGAAGGATTGTGTTGACATGACACTCGCTTTGATGGAAACCGAGAACACCTCTGCACTTCCACGAGGAATCACTGGGATGTTGGATAAGAGGGTTGGGTTTGCAGCAGGGTTCGTTTTGGTAAACGATAAGCTGAATTGATGTCCTAACGATCATATAACGCGAAGGAGCTTGGGACTAAACCCACGGTCTTCTGCTCAGTAAGCAAAAACGTTTGCCACTAGGCAGACGAGCACCTTTTTAATCACCGAGTTGCTGTTATTACCATGTAGTCATATTAACAAATAAAACGATTGACGAATCTTGAATGTGGATGGGCCTGAGATTAGACTCATGATGTTCTGCTCAGTAAGCAAAAACGGTTGCTCTAAGGCCACCGAGCCCCTCATATCACATAATACCGTTGCTCAAATTTGTGGATCCATTCAAACCCGGAACCAACGACAACAACGAGTTTCGCAAAATACACGATACACAAGCGATTTTACCATGAATCTCTTTGATATGTAAGGACCTGGGACAGCGTTTTTCTGCTCAGTAAGCAGGCCACTGTAACCGACGATCTTTCAAATCCGAAAACTAAAAACTACGAAAAAGTACTTAGGCCTTCATTAAGTTCCACTTTCACGCGACGTTCAATGACAGGGTCCTATCCAGGATTACATCTGAAAAATCCAAATCTGACCAACGCCCACCTAAACCTGTTCTAATCCACCTGAAATGACTAACGAATGGAAGACTTTGACTACCCAGCCATGCAATAGTCTCATTCCGTGCCTTATGGCAACTTGATGATTCTATTGCGCTCATTTTTTGGCACCACCCAGGGGAGACTTGGTCCTGTACCCAATGCTTAACTTATCTCCATTCCACTCAGCTACTCGCAATTTCTTGTGATATAGTGGGCGGAATATTATTATATGAGACAATTCAATGCAGACGTCTTTCAAAATTTGGCAGATCGACAGGTAATCGGTGAGTTACCACGATAGTTGCTATTCAACAACTCGACAACGTCCCATCGTCAACGCCTGCTATGAGAATTTCCCATTGCAGACGCCAACGAAATGACGTCATCGAGCTATCGATCAACTACCCTGGTTATCGCCTGGTACCTTTTAGCACGATGCTAGGAGGCGAACCGGAAGAATCGATGAGCTACCTCTCCCCCTATTTAAAATAATAGTGTTTTCATTCCCCCTGTTAATTCTAAACGGGTTGTCTGATCGTTCAATCGTCAAAAGACAAATTGAAGGTAAATATATGTGTATCTTGCTAAACTTATCAATGCTGATGGAGAATCACGATTAACTTATGAAAATGGCATATTTTCTACAAAAAAAAAATGATTTTGATGAAAGTAAATTTGAAATATCTCGAAAACGGTTATATTTAGGAAGTTTATCGATATGGGCACTATCGTTTGAAATGATTTTTATAATCATATACTAACATCAAACTGAACATTTTGTCGTAAATAATGAAATTTTCAAAAATGCCTCAAAAGTTGCTCTTAGAAAAACTGTTTTATTGAAAGTTTGTCCATCCTAGAGTTGTTATCAAAACTTCTGCTTTCTATTCAAGTTTTTATAAAAAAAAAATATAAAAAAAAAATCAAAAATACGTTTTTTTTTTGTGATTTGAATTTTGAGGTTTATTTTTAATTTTTTTTTTGTAAAAAAACGAAAAAACAAATTCCGTGTATATTTGTTTTATAAAGCCTTATTAGTTTCCTACAACTCCTTCTTAGTAAATTTTTTTCTACAACCAACTGTTTTCGAACTACATTTTTTTTAAAAGTATGTGCAAAAACACATAGGCCCTTTTCAAAAATTACCCTTGTGTCAAAAGGGTCTCCTCTCCTGCGGAAAATACTTGCTATATCATACTGAAAATATGGGCAAAGTATCATCCAACTCGAAGATGGTCGAGCACGATTTCAGGTTTTTTCAGCTCATTCTGGATGGAATCCCTTTTCTGTGTTTTCTATATGCCCGAATGGCAGTTTGATATTTCAAATAAAAGTTTTATGTAGAAATAATATAGCAGTTGGACTAATAATTCAAACAACATATCCTCACTAACAAATGAACGGACAAGTGGATATTAAATATTTACACTACAACAATTTTCGTTTTAAAACTACATATAGAGAGATTTTCATGGAGATGCATATTAGAAGCATTTTCAACAAGTTTGTAAAAACATTAGGTTGAGTTAATAGGTATGATGCCCAAACGAACGGTGGCCCATCTCGCCCCGTATGGTCTTTTTGCCCCCATCCCTCCTAACGATGACCCACTCTAATATCTATAGATGTAGAAACGCTTGGCTAACGTATATGAGTGGGCCACCCTGTACGCGTATATAGTACCCAAACATCGATCAAAGGTGATTTCGGATAAATCCAGCGTTCAACAATCCGTCGAAATAAACATATTTTATTCGCTAATTACTTACGATAGATTTTCGAATTTACACAACTTAAAACTAAAAAAGAAAGAATCACTAAGTGAAGAATTTTATCGGATACTGTTTCTCCCAATCACTGCCATCAATTTTTCTCATACGTCTGCCTTCTTCAAGGTATAACATTAAACAATGTAAATGAATGAAAATTTTCTAACAATCCAACCATAAATCATCACTCATGTTGTTGCTGTTGTTGCACTAAACGGTGGAAAATTTTGCTTTGAGCGTACAAAAGGTAACCGAACTAAATCTCGTCAATTCACATCTATACGATTCTGGTGATTTTGGCTTGAGTGAGGATAGATTTATTTAGTAAGACGGCAGGTAGGACGATTTATTATAACGATGAAAATTGTAACAATTTTAGCCAAAGTCGAAAGAAATTGTTTGAAATCTTCTCTTCAAAGCCGGACTGCAATTCAAACAAACTTCCCGCGCGGTGAAGAATCGAGAAAGTGTTCCAACATACCTGTTAGTTAGCCTTATCCTCTGTCGTCGTCGCTTTTATTTTGTATCTCTTATTTGCATTCACTATTCAATAGGAGCTAGGTAGGTTTATGTAGGTGTAGTAGGAGGTTTCTGCACTTTTTTTCTAGTAATCTAGAGCCCATTCATTATCTCCTAGGAAGGCATCGACCACCTCCTTCATGGAATAATTGGAAATGAGCTGATCTTGGGTTAGTTTGACCCGAGTCACCGGGTCAAAATGGCCTACCCGTTGCAGGTGCTCTTCGATGTCCTTCCGCTCGTAGGTCATACCGGATGGAGTGATGACGGGGTCCACTAGCAGCTCGAAGCTTATCTTACCGCACAAGTAATCAGGTACTTCTCGTTTCTGGAAATGTACGATTTTAAGGAGTTAGTATTGTGCCGGTCGAAGTCAAGAAGTGATTGCAAATTCTTACCCTCCTTCTATCATCTACTTTTGCGAAAATGTTGTTTAATTCGGTGGTGTGATTTTCCTGTAAGGTAGCAAACTTATAGAACAAACGTTTCAGGATTTCAATATGACCGAACATACACATTCAAGTTCAATTTCCATGGTTTTATCTCTCACAGAATCCTCGTTTAGTGTGTCATCTAGCTTTAGCTTGGCGAGCCTGTTTTCCATATCCTCACTGATGAGCCTGTAAATGGTGTTCAATCGGAATCCGTGATGATGCACAATTCCCCACAAATGCTACCAAGACTCACCTATTCAGGTAGGACTGCAGTTCGATTTCCTGGCAGATGCGTTTTTCCTCCTGAATGTTCCAGCGTTTTTTCCGTGCCAACCGGAGCTGTGAGGCAATATCGTCTCCGAAGTTCAGCTTCTGTTCCCTGGCCAGATCGTGTGCTCGCATCAGATGTTTGATGGCTTCGTCGTACGATTCCAGCTCCATCAGGCTGAGACCGAGGAAGAAATGGCCCTTGACCAGGTTCGGATCCATGTCTAGGGCACGCCGGCAGTCAGTGCAGGACGATTCCCATCGTTTCATCTTGATATGGCAGAGGGCTCGGTTGGTGAAGTAGGTGGCATTTGTTGGATTTTTGATCTGCAAAAAAGAAGGAACCAGAAAATGGGCTAAGTTCAATGGAATTCGTTTCGGCAGCAGTATTTAAGTGTTTCATCGTAAAAACTCGTAGCGTAGTGCTCTCGACATGCTCTTTTAATTACAATACCAGAGGCATGTGCAAGGACTTACGGCAGCTCGAAATAGACAAAGAACGTCGCTAAACAAACAGCAAATGGAACAAATGACAATTGCCGCCGGGATTTCTGTTCTAATGGACGTCACCTTTGACACTTTTTGACCCCCATCGTTGTTGCCCGTTACTGCCATTTGCCGTAATCATGCAGCAGCAAACACCGGCTATTTTTGCGTTCATTCCTATGTACATAATAACGGATGTTGTTGTTCTAGGACTAGGAACCAATTATTTTACGCTGCATCATGCACATGCGAGCCAACAACTTCACCCACGCTCGGGTTTTGTCCACCGTGTTCGGTTTTCTAATTCCGTTTTTTTCAGTAGGTATTTTGTTTTTCTCTTTTTCGCTGAATGGAAACGTGACGGACAGGGTGATGATAGTAACATTGTTTGTAGTCGCCGGGGGGAAAATGTGGTGTGATGTTTCTTGGCATGTGAATGGATGCCACGAAAATCGACCGTTCTCTAGCGAAACTGAAATGTTGTGCGTTATCCAGCTAGAATGTTGCAGAAGCTACCGGTTGCTCTACCAGAGTGGGAAAGGGAGGCAGGTGAATGGGACATACCCACAACAGGAACGCGTCTGGTCGGTGGAGCTAAAAATACAACACCAATTTACAATAGCAATTGCAGACACGTTCTGTTCATTTCCGTACCATCAGTATGGAACGTTGGACAAGTGAATCGCGTTATTTTGGTTTGCAGAATTATTTTTATTGCTATGAAGTTATGGTTTCGGCCTGTGTTCAATTGATCAATATAGATGGTCAAGTTTCGAACCCACCACAGTATGCGTTTGGCGCTACTGTATATGCACGATCAAAAGACAAAAAGAACTTAAGAATTCCATTCGGCATGACTTATGAACCAGGGAAAATTGTTTTATCCCCATAGGATTGCAATGATCGGGGGTTTAGAAAGTTTTTGAGTGAATATGCCGGATAGATTAACCTATTGGTCCAAGCAACCATTTTGGTTTATGAGGGTTCTGTAGACCATCATTTGGACTTGGACTGCCCGATTAAACACCGGGCTTTCGAAATCAGTTCACATAACCTTCTCAAAGTTTTGTGTGGATCATTGTCAGTCAGTGTCAGCATAGAGGGTAGCTGAATAAAACGGTCCCCTTGGTTTGAACTGTCAAAAATTTGTAAACAAACCCGAGTCCGTATCTGATTCTCTACATAAGTGTAAATACGTTCCCCTGGTTAGTAATCAGCGTGATAAAAGTTTTGTCATTGCGGAAGGTTGTTACTTACGCTAATCCGGTGTTATTTTTGAGTTTTTTTTTTTTTTTTGAAAGTGAAATTTTCTAACGAACAATTTTGTGGATTCTCGCTGAAGTCGTGAAAAACTTTTTCTCGTGAATTGATAAAACAATAAGTGCTTCCAAGAACAGAAACTAACAGAAAAAGAAACGTGATCAAGTTCCTACAAGATGGCTGCAGTCGGCGGGGGTACTGAGCCCCCCGACAAGCAAGATCCAAGGAAAGATGGCGAAAACAAAATGGACGACAACCAACACCAAAACGAGCATGAGTCATACCTGTACACTGCAGATGATGAAGCACCATACAGAATCTACATCGAGATCCAGGAAAAATCAAAAACGATTAACAAATTCTCAGTTGGACAATTATTGAGGAAACTGCCACGTTATCGCAACTACATCGAGGAAATGAAGTATTTGGGAAGAAAGAAGATTATTGTATTTGTCAGTTCGTGGATGCAAGCCAATTTACTGGTTGGAGAACAAATGCTACGCGATCGAGGATACCACGCATATGTTCCACGCCATCTGGTGTGCATAAAAGGAGTTGTGAGCGGAGTAGATCCAGAAATCGACATAGAAGACATCAAACAGGAGATCGAAAGCAACACGCCGGTGGTGGATATCTACAGAATGAATCGATGGGTAAGAGAAAAAAGCAGAAAGGAAGCGTCAAATCGAGTCAGTATTACGTTCAGAGCGAGAAACCTGCCGGAGAAAATCAAGTTATTTGGAATCACAGCAAAGGTGCAGCCTTTCATACGACGGACGGAAATGTGCAATAACTGTCATCGCTACGGACATAAGCAAGACAACTGCAAATCCAGGAAAAGGTGTGAAAAATGTTCACAGGTACACGACGAAGAATCAAACCAATGTAAGAATGAGGTCAAATGCCTGCATTGCCGCAGCTCCAATCACCGCAGTACAGATCCGGAATGTCCGGCACGTGAACGTGAAGCAGGAATCAAGAGATTGATGGCAAAACAAAACCTAACGTACGTGGAAGCAAGGGAACTAGTACCAACGATCCTATCAAGTAACAAATACGAACTGTTAGCGAACGCTGACGAATACCCTACCATCCCGGAAAGTTTCGCAAAAATGACAGCTGGAAATTATGTGCACAAGCAAAACACCAACAGAAACAAAACAACACGCAGCAATGGAGTACAGAATCAGGAGTATCAAGGTCACAGCCATACGATTGTAAAGAGGAAGAAAACAGAGCACAGTACGACCAACAGCAGAAATATGGAGGCGAGCTCTTTGTCTAGCTCCGTGGTTTATCCAACAACAAGTAAACCATCAGACAAAATTTGCGGAACCGGATTGAACAATCCTTACGCTACCACGAGTGCAGAAAAATGTCAATCGATGTACAAAAAAGCGAAAGAAGATGCACAGGAGGCTGCGTATCGGAACGTGCAAGGAGAACTCATGACTTTCTACACGGCACTGCTTCAGATCCCTGATGTTACCGAGGAGACGAAAGAAAGAATCAAAGAATGTTCAAAAAAATATTTACATTTTGACCAAGTCATAAATTGAAATTTCGTTGACAGCTGGATGTCTAATTAATGTCATATAGATTGATTTTTTGTTATTATTTTTTATTTTTTTACAGAAATGGCTCAGTTCAAGTTTTTACAGTGCAACATACAAAGCTTGAGTAAAAATAAAGATGAATTACAACGAGTCTTGGGGGTTGGTGACTATTCAGCAGCCTTCATTTCAGAAACATGGACCAATCCAGATTTAGAAGATACAAGTAAGTACAACATTTACCGATACCACAGATTTTTAAAATCTAGACCAGATAATTACGGAGGATGTGCAATATTTCTTAAAGACACCTTAGGATATAATATAGTTGATTTACCCACTACTTCGAACTCTATGCAAACAATAGCAATTAAAATCTACGCGTTGGATATGGTTCTTGTTTCAGTTTATATAGCTCCGTCTATAACTAAAACAGAGTTAGAATCAGATCTAAGCAATCTATTCCACTTTTTAAAGCAGTTTAATAAAACCATTATTGCAGGGGATTTCAATGCCCATCATATTGCATGGGGTAATGACACCAGTGATGCAAAAGGAAAGATTGTAATGGATATCATAAATGATTATAATACAATTTTACTCAATGACGGTTCAAAAACTTTTGTCCCGATTCAAATAGGTAGAAGCCCTACATCAATAGACCTCACTCTTTGCACACCAAACCTAGTCACTGACTTCACATGGAGAGCCCTTGACTATAGTATAGGAAGCCATCATCTGTTAATCGAAATAGAATTCAATAATGGTACTCCTGAAAAAACTAAAATAGTCTACAACTATAAGAAAATAAGACAAGATTTAAATCAAATTGAAATGGCAAACTGTCAAGGTATTGAAGATTTTCAAAAACAAGTTTCAGATATCCATAGAAAAAATGTATTGAAAAATAAATACATTCCCAAACACTGGTGGTCAGAAGAACTTAGCAAAGCATGGGAAGATAAGAAAGTCGCAAGAAGTTCTTTCAATAAAAAATCATCGGTCGAAAACCTTATAATTTTCAAGAAAAAAGAAGCAATTTTCAACAAATTAAAAAAAGAAGCGAAAAATAACAGTTTTAAAAGTTTTGTGGCAGAAATTAATCCTTCGATGAATTCTAGCGAACTATGGTTGAAAATTGGCAGGTTAACTGGTAAAAGAAAACGAAACCAAACTAACAATATATTATACGAAGATGAAAAAATGGCGGACAATTTCTTAGATAAACATTTTGGCGTAAATGAACCACACTTTAATATTGATTCAAACTTCAGTATAAACTATGATTTGTTTGATTTAGAAAAGTTTAATGATATATTATATAAAAAAAAGAAAAATAGTTCTCCAGGTGAAGACTTGATATCTTACTCAATGTTAAAAGATCTAAAACCTAATATTAAAATTGGTCTAGTTACACAGTTGAATAAAATTTGGAAAGACTGTTATCTTCCAATGACATTGAAAACAATTAAAATAGTCGCAATATCAAAACCAGGTAAAGACCAAGCCACAATGGAAGGTAAAAGACCGATTTCATTAGTCCCTATATTTACAAAATTAATAAACTCTGCAGTTTTACATAAACTAGTTCAACATTTAGAAACTAATCAGTTAATTCCGGACACATCTTTTGGTTTTCGTAAAGGCACCTCAACTGTAACGTGTTTAAACTATGTAATAAATTCCGTGAAAAACAACAAAAGAGACAAAATGTTAACAGCAATAGTCTTCATTGACCTATCTAATGCATTCAACGCAGTTAAAAGCGACATCTTAGAGGCAATTTTGCATAATTTTAAAATTCCAGAAGAAATCTCGTCATGGATTGTTCAATTTCTTAGAAACAGAAAAATTATTTTCAAAACGAAAAACCAAACTTTGTCCCGTTTTATATCAAATGGCTTACCGCAGGGAGATGTTTTATCCCCCACTTTGTTTAACATATATACTGCATCTTTGCATAGCATTGCTAGTTCGGATACCTGCTTAGTGCAATATGCCGATGATTTCGGTTTAATAATAAAAGCC